ATTCTTATTCCTGGAAGTAATTATTAGTTTAATATTCTATTCTATTAAGGGAGAAGTAATTTGCATAATCCTAGATCTAAACATCTATTTCTAGTCTCATTAACAGAACACAAACAACACCTTACACAAAATGATGCTGCAAAACTATAATCGTGTTAATTACAGCCAAAGCATTTCCAAAGTGACTGGTGCTAAATTCATTACTCTCTTGTTTTGTTTAGTTTTAATAGCAATAATGGGATAAGTACTATAGTAAATAGAACAACTATTTAATATTTGGGTTTACCAGTGACAAAACCACATAGTTCTTAGATTTCGAGATCAAAATTAAACTAAACAGAATTTTGCAGCTGAACATGGAAAGTTTCTCTCTCTTAACATGAGATTTAAAAGAACCTGACTAAAAAAAATGGAAGAGGATAGATTAACCTAAACAAGTATAGAAATAATTCAGCAACGAAATCAGAAGTTTCTACCACTGATAGCAGACATGTCATGAAACAAAAAGGAAATTTAGAACAGACGAATACAATTCTAGTGAAGTCCAGGAGACATATGCAAGTGAAGAATTTAATCTTCCTTAATCTTCTCACATGGCACGATTAATCCCCTACCTTTGGGCTCTGGAAGATGACTTCTAGAGATAGCAACAGAAACAATATAATTTTTCTGCATATAAAATATACAGAAAAATATAAAATATGCCAATATAGAGTTATGTTCCTAAACAAAACATTGCATTCCCCTATCCCCTCTTACAAATGTGACTCAGCAGCATGAGATTTGTGGCATAACATAACAATTTTCTTTGTTGTGTCTGGTTCCTATTTAATGATGCTCTCTGTATAGCTGCCAAAAATGCTGAAGGTCAGCTAAGCATGGATGAAAATGTAAGGCCACACTCAGGTTGCATAACTTGCACTAAAGAAGTTAAGCCATACCTGTTTGGTAACCAGGGAGAGCAGCGAGCACGGCCAGGGAAGGTGCTGGGCAGGGTTGGCAGTGGGGACAGCAGATCCAGGACAGCTGGGGAACAGAGGCTGCCTCAGTGGGGTCCCAGCACCCGCAAACCTCTGTTCAGACTCAACCCCCACACAAACCAACAAATAAAAACCAGTCTGTTCCTGTCATGTAAATAGATTATTCCTATTCTCAAGAACTGCATGCAGGAGGCAGTTTCAACCTAGTCTCACTGCACATTACTAGACCCATATAATAAAACCAGGGTTTTTAAAATGTAAGGAAAAAGAGAAACTACCTGCCTGTATATGTGAATCTGCTACCTAACAAATAGGATTACCTTGCTTAAAATATACCTACAAGTCCTTGCGGGTGGAGTGAATGCCTTCAAAATATTCTGATGAATTTCATGTGGGGCAGAATCTAAGTTTGCTAAGGGCTGCAGAAAGGAGAGTTAAACATCAAGTTATTTTAAAAGTCATTCTTTTAATCTTAGGCTATTGATGCCTAGAGAGGCTAGATAGAGTTAAAGGAATAAATAATAAAGGAATAAAGTAGGAATTTATTAAAAGGCCTTCAAAGGAAGAACCTTGGGTGGTAAAAGAGCCCAGCTGTGTATCTACTCAAGATGGGCACAAGATGGATGTCCAGTCACGAGTTTTCACACTTTTATAAGTTTTGATCCATTAGCATATTGGGGTCCAATTACAGCTTCAGGTTATGAAGTCCCATCCTCCCGGATTGCTCTCCTCAATTTGCTGTTGTTCACACTTTTTGGGCCTGAAGCTGCAATGGTGTCCTTGGGTCTCAAGCTGGAAAAGGATTGTTTTGTCTAACTGAACTGTGAAGAGAACTTGCTAACACTTTATGTGAAGTTCACAGTTATACACTAAGGCAGTACAGAATCTGAAAAATATGAAAGCTAAAACTTAAAGCATCACTATTAATATCAGCATCCGTGACCTTAATGTCTTATTTCAAGATTGGAGTTGAAAGACATGTCCATGTGTACCTAACTTCCACTTTGCATGGAGGCCAACCCATATTTAGAAATATAAAAATAATAGAATCATGGTGAAAAATAATCTCTGTGAAACAGTGCATGAAGAAAAAGCCATAGGCTGTTACAACCCCAGTGAATGCCCCAACACACTGGTCCCTGTGGTTTTGAGTGAGTAAACATGTTGTCCCAAGCTGTTCCAGGTAACCTCTTTGATCCCTGTCACAGTGTCAAGAGATCACTTGTCCCCCTGCCAAAGGGCAAGCTACAGCTAGGGACAGCTTTAAAAATCAGGATAGCTGTGAGATGTATGAGCTATTGCATTCCTAAGGCTTAGGCACCAAGGAGCAACATGAACAGCCCAGGCAGCCTCTGCAATGTGGGGCGCTGCTGAAGCAGGTCACAAACATCAGCAGAGCAGAAATGGCAGGGACAGCACCCAAGGCAGAGCCCAGAAGACTGAGCTGCTTCTCAGGGCTACAAGCAGCCTTTCTCTTAAGGGGCAGATGGGATAGCAGTGAACCCAAAATATTTTCTAAGATGTTTACATGTTTACATCCAGGCTAATTACTGAAGAAGACTCCTAAGGATAAGGAACAGCTGAATCCAGCAGTAAATCTGTTCTTCTTTCCAAAGACTAAGTTAATGCCTTTTTTCCCCCCTTGAGCTGGTGCACATCTTGTAATGAGCTTAGACTCCAGGACTGGAACCCAACAGCCAAATCCTGAGCAAGCATCCACTTCTGCAGACCAGGACAAAGAATGAAGGGACATTCCTATCCAAGGGAAAAGCCTGCCATGATCCCAGTTCTGCAGACAGAATAGGGAAACAGTGGTTCAAAATGGAAAACAGATAATTGACAAAATATAAAAGGACAGAGAAGTCATAGAAATATAGTTCTTGCCTCCATGAATCTTCAGACTCAAGAGGTTTCACCAAAAACAGGTCAGAAAAAAAGTTTTATATAACTGTCATTTTTTAATTCTCCTTTGTATCTCTGGCATGCAAAAGTAAAAGTTCTATATATGATAAAATTTCTGGACTTTCTTCTTCCCAGTAAGAATGACACAATTTAAATCAAATGACCAGAAGTCTGTTCATGTAACAAAATATTTTTAACCTTTCAAAGACACTGCAGTACTGAAAGTAACCAGACGTGCAAATGGTATAAAGTGAAATGACACAGTACTCTATTTAGACAGCACCTTGATTCAGAATACAAAAGTTGCTTCTGCAGAGAACCCCCGCTGCTGCCAGGCTTCACATGTTCTATGCTGCAGTAGTTAGACTACCACAGAGCAAATCACTCCTCTCTGGCCAGCAAGTTGGTCAGTGGTTTGAAGAGAGTATTTCAGAAACTTGTGCAAGAGCAAAACTGTCTCATCAGCTCATTACAGCAGCAAAATGCAGACCCAAGTGGCTGCTGAAGCGCCAGGGCTGGTGGGAGCTCCCAGCGCCCTCCAGGCAGAACAGGGCACACAGCTCTGGAACATTCCACAAAGGAGATTTCTCTAGGCTCATACTACACCTGCCATATTAAGCAGCTTCCAAGAGCACATGGCAGCAACAAGGATGGGATTCTCTTTCCTCCCCGCTTAATTCTCCACCACCTCCACACCTGCCAAAAGATTCTAAAAAAACAATTACTGTCCTTAGTTCTTTGGTAAAGAAATCACTCTAGTGAGCCCTGAGTTTCACTATTATTCATCTGCAGATGTCTGTAAGAGTGTATTTGTCAGGGAAAAAAAATTATTACCGTGTTTTTTATTACCAGAAATATATGTAAAATGTCAATGGAAAGTTGCAGTCAAACAAAGCATTGCTGACAAAACACCTGAAAGAACTTGGGTAGTTTGAGTCTTCTGAAGAAACTGAAAAAGGAAAAGCCTAAATTAATGGAGAGGAAAAAAAATCTCTTTTCTAGTTGTAATCATCTCAGGTATAGCAAGTAAATATGATTTATGCCTATGGCTTTAAACAGCCCCACTCAATTTTATTTAATAGATTGAAAAAAAAAACCAAACCAAACCATTACTCTCAGTATTATGCAACACTGGGAAATGCACACAGAACCAACATGATACCATTATCATCTGCAGCTGGTCAAGTTACTCAAAAACCTCCTCCATCAAACCTATAATTTTTAGGACCCAGCAGAAAGAGAGGTACACATGCAGGTGCTTCTGGACTCAAAGCAAATATCATTACAGTGAAAATTCTAAGGAAAAAAGAATTAGGGAAAAACAGAACCAACCAAAAAACAAACCCAGAATAACATCCTTAATGATCAAAGACTAAACTGTCTCAAGCTTTTCAAACAGAACTGCTTTATTTTCTTTCCCGTAAGTACACAGCCTTTTATACCAAGACCACAACTCAACCCATTGTAGTTAAAACAAAGAGTTGTATTAAGCAATGCCATATAAACTAATTTTCCAGAGAAGCTGCCATAAAGTCATGGTATGAAATTATTCTTAACTCTTCTAGTTTAACTGAAATGAACTCAATGGAAGATAAAAATGCTGCATCTCCTATCAGAAAATTCTCATTGGGAAGAGGCTAACAAGTTAGATTTTTCCCTTTATAGTAAAAATTATGATGTATACAAAATACTTTTATTTAAAAAAAAAACCAAAAAACATTGAATCCGGTTAATTACAAAGGCTACAAAATCTACCCTTTGGTTTGTAACTTGAAAGTTCAGTGGCTCCTGTCATACTGGCAACTTTAAACATGCCAAGAAAAGAACTTACATCTAGCTTGTGAAAACACTCAATCCACCAAAAGAGGCAAAGCTGACCCTTGGCTTGAATGTACACAGAATCCTCAGCATGTGGATGGAGACTGCACTGCACATCTGCAGTGGAAAATGGCTACACTTCCTCATGCTCAAAATGCCAAGGTCATATTGTTCATAACCCATTTTCCACAGTCTCAGCTGGTTAGCCTTTATCTTCTTAGAGAAGAAGCATCTTTTAGTCTCTAGCATGGACTTTTGAGGGCGTCCATTTGACAAGAAGACACAAGGAAACAACACACATAAACATCATTCTTTATTAATTATTTCAAGTGTCATCTTCTGAGTTACGATCCTCAATTTTTTGGAGCGGCCGCCTAATACCAATTACTAAGTCTAAGGATAGAAGCTCTGTAACACAATGAAGAACTGAAATGACTAACTGGTATTTGCAATATACTGACTCTAAGCCTTCATTGTTTACAGGCAGTGGCTGATTTTTTTTGAGTAAATTAATGGCTTCAAGATAGAATTTGGTAAAGCCATCTCGTTCTGTCTGGTACAAGGCCTTGGGAATACTTAGCAAAGCATCAGCAACCACGTTACATACAATGATTAGCTCTGACTGCTGACACTGTTTTGCATAATCCTGAATATAATAATGTAACAGGATTTCAAAGTAACCTCCTACTGGCAAAACTGATCCCGCTTCTATGAGGCAGTTGGAGTAATCCTGTGCAACACCTGCAAAACTCTCCTCCTGTTTAAATGGAACTATATGGCAACATGTTTTCTCTAGACCTTTGCCAACATCCAGGCACTCACACGCAGTGACTGTATCAGTGTTACATGCCACTAACACAGGAGTGCTGTGGTTCTTTTGATTGTGGACCAGCAGATCACTTTTATCAGGGTCAAAAATTTTCCTCTCTGTTTCATCACTAAGTGCTTTCAGCGGACATTCAGAAACCTGGTTAGTATTACAAGTGTTTTCTATTACCAGCTGTTTCTGAGTCGCTGAAGAACGCCAAGTGTAAACATCTGAGGCTTCACTCTGGCTTTCACCTTCCGCTTTCCATTCCCCCCTCTGATCAACTGCTTTGAACAGCTGCTGCAGCATTGTGAACGCCTCTTGCAGAGCAGCAGCATGTTGCTCATTAACGCCATCGACCGGCCCACACAGGATCAGGCAGTGGGGCTGGAAGGCACACACACTGGCGAAGCCAACGTGGACACATCTCTTGGAGACGAGCAGCAAGGGCTGGCAAAACGTTACCACTGCAGTTTCGGTTATCTCTCTGTCCATGGTATCACCAAAAGGCACGTAAGGGGAGACACCAGTGATTTCACTGATAAGGGCCATTTCTTCCGAGGATAAGCACTCTACCACAGACACACCACATAACTTGGCATAGTAGATAACTACATCTTCTTGCTTCACACTGGACAGTAACAGCTTAACGTTGTTACTCTGCAAATGTTTCATTAAGGCCTCTGTCCTCTTAGCGATCCAGCGCAGGGAAGCCTGGTACTGACCTTCGGAGTCTACAACGAACTCCACACCGGGGGCCGTCAGGGCGGGCCGCAGGGGCTCGGTGACGAGCAGGGCCCGCAGCTCCCCGTCCGTCGGGCAGTAGGCAGCGAAGTCCCTGCGGAGGACGATGCCGGGCAGGATCCTGGAGCTCGCCAGGGGCAGGCCGGGCACGGCGGCGTGCAGCTCCGCGAACCGCTGCCTGAGGAGCCGCAGCACCTGCGGCCGCGTGGCGGCGGCCGGGGCGCAGCGCCGGCACATCTCGGCGCAGAGCCGCGCCAGGCGCCGCCGCTCGCCGGGGCCCAGCCGGCCGGCCAGGTACGGCTCCAGCAGCGGCTCCAGCGACCCGGGCGGCGCCGGCCGCAGGTGCCGCCGCAGCCCCCGCGCCGCCGCCCGCTCCAGCACTTGCGCCTCGAAATCTCGCAGCGCCCGCCGCAGCCCGGCGCCGCCGCCCGCCGCCCGCAGCCCGCCCAGCACGGCCGCCAGCAGCACCACGAAGCTCTTGGCGCCGTCCCCCGTCGCGGCGCGGTGGCTGCAGGCGCGGGCCGCCATCACCCTGCGGGGACACGGCCAGCGTTAGGGAGCCGCCCACGCCGGCCTCGCCCGGCCCCCTCGCCGCGGTACCTGGCCGCGGGCGGCTCCACGCTCAGCGCCTCCAGCAGCCGCCGCCCGTCCCGCGTCGGCATCACCTCGCCCGTGGGCCGCAGCAGCAGAGCCCGCCCGCCCCGCGGCCCCAGCGCGCCGCGCACCGCGCCCGCCAGCGCCGCCGCCTCCTGCCACAAGCGCGGCCGCTCCGGCCCGGCCGCCGCCATCGTCGCCGCGCCCGGGCCGCCCCTTCCTTCCCTCCCTCCTTCCTTCCGCCCGCCCGCCGAGCTTCAGGGCCGCGCCCGGGCAGCGGCGGAGGGCGGGACAGGGGCAAGCGGGGAGCGGGAGCCGCGCGGGAGGGACGTAGGAACGGGAGAGGGAGCGGCGCACAGAGCCCAGAGACGCGGAGGTGCGACACATCTTTATTGGAGGCGGGCCGTAACAGCTCAGAGCCCTCACACAAAGCCGTGATCCCGGGTGTCGGACAGGGCGGGACACGCGGGACGGGGCAGCGGGCGCTGTGTCCTGAGGGCTAATCTTCCCGCTTGGCAGAGCGAAAGGCCGGGGTAGGGTAGAAAGGAGAAAAAGTTAAGGAGAAAAAGCCCAAATAATCTCACCCCGAAGTTACATCGTTCGAGCTATTTCTGTATTACCACAAAGTAGTGCAGCTTCACTGTAAACATCCCAAATCCTCGACTTTCGGCTCACCAGCCAGAAAGAAGAAATAGTGTAATGTTTTAAGAGCTGATTTTTTTTCCCCCCAGAGAATGACTAAGCAGGAACATCAGTTCTCAAACACAACAGCCCTCACAAAAGATCTGGTATTATATATGGCACAAATTTGACAAATCTTTACATGTCTCCGAACAGCATAGAAACCCATCAAGAAGGCACTGTTTACAATACTTGAATATCTGCTAAATTTTCTGTGATTTGCGGGTACTCCTGAAATAAAAATAATTAAAACGTAGAGATGTACAGAATTTTTGTTACACATTATTTACACAAACAATGGTAATAGCTAAAAATAACAGCCTTTAAGAAACTGACATACAAAGTCTGTTTCATAAACATGAATCTAGGAAGGAAAAAAAATTGCCAAAGGCACACAAGGGCAGCAAACAAACAAAAAAGAAGAAATCACAACCATTACGTTTTACAAGACAACCTTGCAAATAATTTGTGAGATTTCATAAGTGGGAGGAAGGACACAAAAACCAGACTATACACCCTCATCAAGTGATATCAACTATTTAAAAGGAATCAACACATGAAATCCAAGAAACATCATCTACTGAAAATGATACTTGTTGTATTTCACATGGCATATTTACTTTTTCTTAGCTTAGGTTATCTGTACCCAGTTAGGCAATCTGTACCTAAATGGCAAATTAAAGGCATAGAGTGCATCTGAAAACAAACAAACCAACCCAACAAAACCACATGGCAAATTCTGCAGATATTTCCTGTACAAGGAAAAAACCCAAACAAAACAGGAATTCGAAATCAAATGTGAAAACAAGTGCTGTTATAAACTTTAAAAACTAGAAGGCCACAGCCCTCAAGCATCAAGCATCTGCAAACTGTACAATCAATTTTTATATATGTGCAGAGCTCAGTCTTAAGCAGGTAGTAGTCAAGATCTGCTGTACATCATGGCTAAAGAGGACAACGGTGACGCACTAAAAAAAGGATCCATACATGTCTGTGACCAACTGTACAGTAAAAAATAGGGAAGAAGTTTCTTTGTTCTATTCAAATGAGGAAATATACAAAATCCAGCAAATTACTAGGCTTTCACTGTACTTTTCAGAATTTTTCTAATCATAAAGTCTTGCAGAAGTCTGCAATCTTACTTTTCAAGAAGTTTCATCACATATCCTTTACCTTTCCAGTTCATCACTAAAACCACTTTTTCAACAGAATTCAACTCTAAAAAATAAGTTGAAAAGGAAAATAAGCAAAAGGATTTTGTTTTGCTCTGTTCAAGTCTTTCACTCATCGTGAGCTAAGCATGAACTTCAGCAATGGATTATCTTTTTAGCCTGACACTGTCCAACACTGCCAGCCAGCCAGCTGGCTGGGTCAAATCCAGTCACTACCATGTGGTCCATGTAAAAATGCATGCAAACTCTGTTATTCACTGCTCTTCAACAGAAGTGATTGAAAAAATCAGCATGAAAAGGCAGAAGTACATTTCTATTTACAAGGAGATACAAGCTTGAAACTATCAGTCAAGAGTTTCAGCACCACAAATTTAGCAGAATATTATTTTAGGGGATTGAAGTTATTGCCCACATCTCACTCACTGGATTATTCTCATGTTCAGAGTATGTTTAAAGGCTTGTAATGGATCTTAAGACAGGTGAAGCTTTGACATGTGAATGCAATAATGAACAGCCAAATTCCAGGCTAAGAGTGTTAAAGTGAATGCCGTAATACTCTGCTTTCTTAATGCCGTTTCATACATGGGTAACTTCAGTTTTCATTTAGAGACTGAGGCATTTGTAATTATTTTGTTTGTTTATGAAAGGACTTTCTATGTTCACAAATTTTGCCCCTGTTAAATCAGCTGTGGATTTAATAGAAGTCCAACCAGGTTTGGTCTTGCCCATGGCTACAAGATCTGGTTAACGTAACAGGTTCCAGAAAAATTATTCAAGACCAAACCGTGCTGATGTGAAGCTGTACGAAATATGCTGAAGTTCACTGCTTACACAATAGACTTTCACACAGCTGAGGCCCACAGAAGAGGAAAGGTAAAAGATTAGGGGAGGTGCATGGGTGTCAGCCACAGAAATATATAAGCTGGACAGATAAACGAGTAAACAGTATTTTTACTAAATACTAGTGAGACTGATGCAGAACAGAAAGGCAGATCACCTGGAGACTCAGGCAGGCTGCCCAAGGCAGAGGCATAACCTGGCCATGGCAAAAAGCCAAACATGACTTTCAAACTATTCCACTGCCCAGGATGGATTTGATTCCTGAGAGGATCCTCTGAAAACAAACTTGGCTGTCCTTCACACTTTGCCACTCATCCTCCTGTTGTCTCACCTGGGGTACTGAAAATACTTTTTCATTTCTACAGCCCCTTTTTGCCTTGGTATGCTTGACTGGCACAGGGAACTCACCAGATAAATACCAGCACTACATTTTTGGCTGGAATTTTACAAATTCTATACATGCATATATTTCTTCAAATAAAAAATGTTAGAAACCCTGGTTTTGAATTTAAACTTAAGCTTTGCATGAATGTGTATGACTACAGCATACTAAGAAGGTGCATCCATGTATTCCGGTAGGTAGTATATACTTGCAGTACAGAGGGATTTCAAACACTTGGATTTTCCTCTTACTTGTTTTGAGATACGTGGTGTTAGCCATCACACAACTTCTGAGCTTTCCCTGTGTAAACACACACATTTTCATTTGCAACTCTGCTCATGACAGTGCCTGAATCCTATTCTACTGCCTTTTGGAGATTCAGCTCAAGCTACACACTAAGCATACCCCTTGACATTTTGTTTCAAAAATACCCATGAGTCCTGGCATCAGCAGTCTGCCTGCTTACCATGACATGGCCATAAACAAATGTAAATCCAAAGCTGTAGATTTTTCAAGACTTACAAACATACCATAAATCCTTGACATTTGCAATTCATGAGAGAGTAGACCAAAACAGTACCTCCCTGGCTGCTGTACTGTTAAAAATGTGCTCTGTACAGTAGATGTGGGAATGTTTTTAAGATGAATCTTAGTTTTAAAACTATAAAACAGCTGGCTTACAAGCCTACAGTAATTCAGGATAAAAGCCTCATACTTCCAAAACTAATCAAGGACATTATATTGCAGATTTCCCAAAGACTTTTTACTTGCCATTTCCTAACACACACAATTTTTCCTATAATAATGTATTTGTTTGACCTTAAACAAAAGTTTACTTCCAAACACCCAATGCCATTTACAAAAGCTGATGGCTACTTCAAAACTTTTTGTTACAAAAATGATAAGTTTATATATGTAATGAAGTATGCCTGTTTATCATTCTACCATAAAGGACTCACATCCTACCTATGGGGTCTGACCTCAGTGTTGAACTTGATCTATTCTGTGGTGAAGATTCATCAGTGTGACGCAATATAAACACAAGGCTGATGTCGTATGACTGCGAGACAGAGGCACACACCAGGAGCAAGAGTGTACTGGCACTTACACAGTTCTTACTGCAACTGGGTAGACACAAGTATGATTCTGAACCATGAATGCTGAGGCAAAGTTCTGTAAGTTGCTGCTACACAGTTCTTTTACATAATATTGCATCATTTAAAGTCCAGCTTAAAATATGGTCCCCAGTAACAGTTTGATCATTCCAGTTCAAGAAGGCCCTTGTTCACACTTCTTATTTGAACAAGACATTAATGATAAGCTGTAGCAGAACCATAAGTGCAATGAAGACATAGTGCTTAAACTGCAAGGAATGGTAGTCCCAGGGTGATGAATTAGAAGTGACTCTATTTCGTAGCGCCATGATCTCCCTGTAAGATAGAAAACAATATCCTGTAAATTACAGACTAGACAATTTGACACTTTCTACTATGTTAGGATTACCTACAGAAGGCAGCTTTAGAGGAAAACATTGAAACATCAACGAGCAATCAATATTTGAGAAAAGATGCATACCAGCCTCTAAGAGAAAAAAAAATCCTACAAGATTACTATTCTCTAAACCATTTTAAAGCATTTTAATTAGTACTACCTCTTAATGTCTTCCTGTGTTTTCTTTATAGACTCAATGGCACTATGTAGTTCACCAAGGTCTGTCCCTTTTTTCCTTATTCTTGTATTATGCTTCATAAGTTGTGCTAGAAGGATACAAAAGCCAGATGTAATTGACTGAAGTGACTGCTGCCATAAAAGGAACAAAGTGCAAGTGACAAATTAACCTGTAGCAAAAATGAGGAGAAAATCTTCTAACTAGCTTCTATTGAAAACTTTATTTCAGAGTCACCTATACCACAGGACAGCAACTTTAGTGCTTGAAATATCTTTTAAACACTCATCATATTGTTTAGCTTCTGCAAACATTATCAACAAGAAAAATCTACCCTCTAGC